AGCCTGTGTGCATGAGAGCTCAGGGATGGCTGGCTCCATGCCACAGGGGAACGATGCAAAGACCGTGTGGGAAGGAAAGGGGAGAGAGGACTCTTGCTAGGAGGCCATGAGAAGGTGCCACGTGGTTCTGAATTAAGAGCTGGAGGTCATAGAAACGCAGTGGATGGTGCTGGGAACAGTGAGAGCCCTGCCTAGCCAAGCCCCGGACTTCTGTTCTTTCTCTTCTGAAGGACGGTACCCTGACTGGCCTGACTGGCTTGACTGGGCAAAGTGGGGAAGGCAGGACGGTGTGTGTTGGTGGGTGTTTTAAAGGGATTTTGAGATTTAACAGCGACATTTAGCCATTCATTGAAACCTGTATAACTTTTGAATAGTTCCTTTCCTTTTCACCAAACTCTGCCATTGAAAGCCATAATTTTTAAGGGTAGCGGGCAGAGGACCTAGAACAGAGGGACCCCAGGGAAGAGGGGCGTTGTTGTGGTAATAGCATCTGGGGCCCCCCCCCCACCAACAGGTCCACTTTCAGTAACATGATCACAGAAATGGGAAAATAATTGCGCGGACAGGATGACTCATCTTTTCAATCCTGACTGCACTTCAGGCCAAAATCTCTTTCCTTAGGGACCTCTCTTCTCAGAAGATTCCTAGATTCTTAACTAAAACAGTGTCCATGTGGTTCCCTCTACTCCAGCCAAGGTCCCGGATCCTCTCTACCCCGCACACGGAGTCCACACAGTTTGGGCTGTAAATCGGACACCACTGTGAGACTCTCGGTTTCTTCAGGGCGATCCACACAGGGCCCTTTGTGTGTCCCTGCCGCCCCAAACGCGCATTTTCCAAAGCTTCCCATTTTCCACACGTGCCTTACAAGAAACAAGAAAAGAAAGAAAGAAGGAAAGAAAGAAAGAAAAGTAAAGAAAAGAAAAGAAAATGGAATAAGAGAAAAATCCATCACAATTTGGGATCTCAGTCTAGGATAACCACCTACTGGCACACTTTCATTATCAACCATGATGAACCGTTCACCAACCTGCTAAGTTGCTTTCTGCTTGACCTCCTTCCGCTTCCCATACCACATACGTCAGGGCAATGGAATGGGATGAAGGAATCATTTTAGCACTTGGGTACTAAGATACTTTAGTACTGAGAAGAAATAACTAGAAGCATAATAATTTTTTATGTTTGATATAACTTAGTTATGCCAATTTGAACAATTTGATATAACTTAGATCTTTTGAACTCTTCAAAAGCCTTTATATCTTATGACATGCCTTGAGGTATTACAGAAGAGCTGAAGTGTTTTACTTAAGTTAAGCTAATTAAAACCTTTAAAAATTCAATATTCCACTTTTTGTGACCTCAGTTAAATGCCTGTATTGTGTTATGTCAGTCTCAAAAATGAATCACTCTTTAAACTGAATTAGACTCCAAAGTATTACAAATCTATTATGAAACTTACCCACTCTAGCAACATAATAGGGTTATTGTAAGTAAGGTTAATGAGAAGAAACATCAATTTTCCTGCAATTTCTTTCTCTTTTTAAAAAATAGTTATAATAATTTCCACTATTTCCTTTGTATGTTCTGCACAATATGAAGCATCCTCATTCTTCTCCCTAAAAGGCAGGTAGTTGAGATTTGAATCCTTGACTATTAACCAGTACAGTACAGGGGACCTCCACCCTCATAATCTGCTTTACCCATAATGATCAGCATCTTCCAAAAATAAAAAGCAGTGTCACCAACAATATTTTGGTAGGATTTCATGTTTTCGACAGATTTATTGCACAACCTCTCTCTGTGCCAGGCCCCATGCTGTCTTGAGACAGGAGCGAAGTGATAAACAGACCCTCCTGGTCCTCGGGGGTGTTCCTGGCTTGGGGAGGATGTAGAAACATCAAGTGGTTACAATGCAGTGTGTGAGGACCTGAGCAGAGGAGAGTGCAGCATGGATCCCAGGCCAGAGAAGGGACACTAGTCCACCTGGGAAACGGCAAGAAAGTTTACTAAAACCTGTGCAAAATGCCTTCAGCCACTGTTAAACTTGGCTCAAAGCTGTTTCCACACCCTATGAAAGGGATCAGGTGGAATGAAAGCTGCATAAGCGCTGTCGATGGCCAACAGGTCCCTTCGATGGCCAACAGGCCACTTCGATGGCCAACAGGCCCCTCCGATCGCCCTGCTCCTCAGGGTTGGGGCCATCTCCAAGGAGGAGCCGACGGACGCCCCTACGGTGTTGGGAGCGGAGGCCAAAGTGACTATCTAACCTGTGTTCTAAAGGCCCCTAAGACGTGTGCTATGGAGTTGTACTGAATCAACTCTTAGGCTTCTTTATACTCAGAATGATAGTTCTCAACTTTTCAAAATTGTAACCTTTATTTCCTCCTGACATTAGGATTGAGCATGTAATCTACATTTAAAATAAACATATTTCTCATCAAGGTTTTCAGAAATATGTAATTGTCAAAGTACAATGTGGTAAGACCACTCCACACAGAGTTGAATAAACTCTCCCAGAACACTGAGGAGAAGCATTTAGATTAGATGTCAATCTGCTGCCTAGTTAATTAGAGTCAAAATAATTCTTTTAGTAGACTACTGCATTCTTTCTGCAGTAATGTATTTCTAAAAGATGATTTTCAAATAGTACATTCTTTGTCCTTTTTTTCCTTATTGATTTTGGGAGAACAAATTGTTTCTATATATAGGTCAAGTACGTTTTCTTATCATGCGTTATTTTAAGCATTAATTATCCTTTAGTTATTTACCTAGCTTTATTCCTTCCGGGGCTGATTTCTTCTTTAAAAAAAAGTGCTAATTCAAATCATATTGGATATCGCCTAAAAGTCATTCAAAATATTTTGAGTATGTTTAACACATCATGTGGAACTGCTCAGGGAGTCCTCATAATTAACGAATGAGCTAGTTCACTCTCTTTGGATATACAAAGAAGAGCCATACAGGTGACTTCAGAGGTCTGGTCTTTATAAATCTTATTTTTACTATCTCTGGCCTAATGATAACTCCAAGAAAAAAATCCCACCCAGAAAAACTATATTCCTAGATTTTTTACAGTAGGAATTAAAGGTAAATGTGGATGCGGACACTTATCAAATGACCTCTTCCTCCGAGGACAACCGAGAGGAAACTAGCTACAATGTGCCTTGTGAGTCTTCCAGTTTGAATGGTGATTTTTTTTTTTTTTTTGCCAGTAGCTTATTAGACTTCTTAAGATTTTAAAAGGAAATGACTTTTAAATAGCAGTTGACAAGAGATGCAAGTGACTTAGAAAGAGAACTAGATGGTGAGGATCATTAAATACTGAACTGTGTATCTGAGGGTAACTGCAGCATTAGCTACTGAAGAGACTTTAAAAGGACAACCTACAGCCTTTTAATAATGGTAGAGCGATACAGGGATGGTTTTTCAGGAGGCAGGGAAATGCAGAATGGCTGCTTAGGAGTTTCTTAATTTTGAAATTCTATGACAAGTGAATCTTTTTCTTAAAGCTGTTTATAACAAGGCTCAAGGCCCAGTGTATTCATCTTTATTAACAGGCTTATCAAAATTTGTTCGGTTCCTTCTAGCAATAGTTAGCAAGCTTAAGCAAGGCAGAAATCTGGAAATTGTTCTCAAGTTAGGGGGCAGGCCTTGTATACACTGGTTTCTCAACCTCAAGTTGCTATGTGAACTTCATTCAGCAGAACCATAAACATTGCCAAATGATGAAAGTGCTATTACCCAATTTCTTTATACACAGCTACTCATTACTGTAAAACCTCGAAGCCTGACAAACAGAGACCTTCATCCTATTTTATGGGCTGGCAGCATTTGCCCTGCAGGTAGAATTTCATACCAGGTTAAAGCCCAACATTCTGAAAAACTAGGGGCTTGGCAAAAGGCCATATCTCAAAGAAGTTATTACTTCAAATAAATGTGCCATTTTATAAAATTACACCTACTATCAGAAAAAAATGTCCTTTAGTGTGAGTGACATTTATAAGACTGCCATTTATGGGGACTAGGACATTCTCACATAACAAGGAATGTGGTTTTGAAAGCTGAGCATGTTCTCCTAATGATAAATATGATAGCTATTTGTATGGAAAGAGACTCTCTCCATTACCTGGTAGTTTTCCTATAAAAATGAAACCTGCATTATTATAAAGACAGTAATTACTTGGTCAAACCAATAACATTAATAAGGTTGTCAAAATAGTCACACCTGCAAGCATCTTCAGTCACGGATTTTCGCCTTGTTAGAGTTGGACTTTGTGGATCCTTAGGCCAACACTCTTCTACTCTACATATGTGGAAACTGGGGCTGAGGTGTTGAGCTTCTAGTTAGAACTCGGTATAGAATTCTCCAATCCCCTTTCCAATTCTCCATCCTGAGAAAAACCTACCTTCTTGCTGCCTCTGGACGTAAGGAACCAATGCTTAATTTACTCTTCACAATAAATTTATATTTCAAATAACATTTCTCTGGAAAAGTAATTGCTAAACTCTAGAAAGAAATTTAAATCAAGATCAAAGATGGAACCTGTTGCATAAATCAGGACAAATTTCAGCTCTTGGTCAAGAAGTGACCTCAGATCTGAGACTGCAGAGATTGCCAAAACCACATTCTTCTAGGCTCCCTTCTGATGGGCACCGTAGGATTGCTCTTCTCCAGAATAAGATACTGAGAGGAATCCAAACCCCTAAATTCTTTTCCTTGGAACTTAGAGAAGTTACCTTTGTGTAGAGATAAGAGATAAAAAAGCCAGGAAGCCAGACACTTGCTGAATTGCTTAACAGACTGTGAGACACCCTTGGCTAGCCTTTCCAGGAGAGGGGTGCCGGGGGCGCGCTGGGGTGTTTGCCAGCACCTGCTTCCAGTGCCAGCGAGCTTAGGGAGTGGAGTCCTGAAAGGAGGGGCTCAAGGTTGGCTGAAGCAGATAAGGGAGGCGGGCCCTGTGGCGAAAAGTACAGGGCAAATAGCCAGCAACATGACCCACCTGCGGTAGGGGAGCTTCCAAACTGCTACGGCTAAGACAGCTGCAGCCTGGCGCGCAGCTGGCCCGGCTGGGAGGACGACGCTTCTCAGCGCTGCAGCCCAGGGCTGAGGCTCGCGCTTCTCGCTGGTATAAGAAGGCAGACAGAGAGGGAGGGCCCGCTAGATTTCGCAAGAGAAGCGGTGAAAAAAGCGTTTCCAGGAAGAGTTCAAACTGGGAATCCCGGGCAGCAGGAAGGACCGGAACTTCCCGTTCTGCCACTGCAGTTTTTGCGGCAGATGTTGCCGCTCATCTCTGGCAAGCGAGGTTTCTAAGGGTTTCTCCCATTGCTATCTGTGCCTTGCAAGCAGGCCTGGAGACGCTGAAGAGGATGCCTTTGTGAAGGGCCTCTCTGAGTAGCTGAGGAAATACCACCTAATCTAGGCATCTAGGTATTTCTCTTCTTGCCATCTTGTCTCAGTTCACTGTAAAAGGTGACAGCTTTCTCCCACGCCTGGAAGCCCTGGATTCTTATGGGGCTCAGCTTAGATGGTCTTGAGGTTATGATTTAGGTAGAATTAAATGGTTCAAAAGAAGCAAACCAAATGAAAGAGAGAGATGATAATGAGGATACCTTATTGTTGATATATATATAATATTGCATAATAATGTGCAATAATGTACAGTGTCCAGCAGAAGTAATGCCTGCTTGAGTGTGGTTGGTAGGTAGTAATATGAGTGGAATAATTTATACTTTTAATTCGAACATTTCTCCTAAAATGTCATATAAAGTGCTCAAGTGTGATATTGTTTTGTTACAGAATGACATGCTTATGATTTTGTAATAAAAAGTTTCGCAGCAAAAAAGGGGCGTTATTTGTTTCAGACCCTGTATATTGCATAATTGGACCGCTATCTCTTTCTCTATTGTGGGAGCTCAAAAGCCACAGCTGTTATGGTTTAAGATTTAACTAACGATGATAACTTAAGAGGCAAAACACCCCTGCACTCCCCTGCTCTGGGCTAGAGCCCAGAGTGCTCCCTGTCTGTCTTCCACCCAGCATCTGGTCTTAAGTTCCATGGTGCATGTGCTGAGGTCCAGATGTTCTGCCGCACTGGAGGCCTATTCCAGCACTTTTGATGACTCAATTCTGTTGCCTGGATTGCAACTGTCCCCAGAGCAGGTCATGGAGTCAGCTCAGATTCCATGTTTTCCAAGAAGTTTTCTCTGAGCCACTAGTTACAATTCATCTTTTCTTTTTCCATGTAGCACAGTTTATGCTTCTAATACAACACTAGGACAAATTGCTTCTTAAAAGAGTTACTGTATATGTATCTCCTGTCCTGGACTGCAGACTCTGGGGTTGACATCCTATCCTTTCAGGCTGGAATTTTCCACCACACCACACGCTTAGCGCAATGCTCAGTATATTGCACTCACTGACAAGTCTACTGCCAATTATCATATTATCACTTGAAGAAAGGTCATCTGATAGTATTCCTTGGGCAAGGAAGAATTTAAAAGGGATTTATTGATTTTATAGCAGCAATTTCCCCAGTCTGAAGATTGACAAGGTGAGACAAGGGCATGTAACTAGGAAATAAGGCCTCTGGTATGTCCCTAAGAAGCCTCAGATTTTGTCAGCACAGTTTTGTGACTACCCCTAGCTAGCATCTGGCTCTAAGCCATGTGGGCACAGAAGCTTGATTCTTAGTACATTGAACCTCATACTTAAAACCAGGATGCTGATTTGTTAGTTGTCAATGGAATATAAGCACATAGTCATTGTGAAAATATAGCACCAGTCATTCTAATCATCATATATATCCTCACCTTGTAAGCATATCCCATGGAAGCCATTTTGTACAGGCGGCTGCTCCCCAAAGAGGGCAGTGCGTTATAAATTCCAAGTTGCTGGCATCGCATCATGGAGATATATGTGCCACCTGAAGCAGACAGTTGGAGTCTGTGGGCCAAGGTCACTCTGGTTTCTGGATTGTGTTTGTACCCATTATAAGCTGACTTACTGGACAGTTGTATTCCCAAATGTAGCCTCCAACTAATAATATAATCATTGCTTTATATACTTGTTATTAGGTGGACAAAATATTTTAAAACCTGATTATTATGAAAGACAGGTATATTTCAGTTACGTAAGCTCTTTTCTTTGCCAAAGGCAACTAGAGTCCCAGAAAAAGAAGATTAAGTTACTAGAATATGAAGGAGAAAAAAGTTTCTTTATTAGTACTAAACTTAAGAGATATTTGACTTTTTTTTTTATCTTCTGGTATAAAGATTGATTATTCCCTTGATCCTAGGAGGAATGCACAATTCATAACTCCTCAGTGTTTTCCTAAACCCTTTCTATGGGGGAAAAGTAAGCTTCCAAAGATGCCAGCAGCCTGAATACCCAAGGACTTGCCTTGGCAGGATTCACTCTTCTCCCTGAAGCCTTTCCAGAATTCCCATTGAGGCTTCCCAGATGTTGCACATTGACAAAGAATTCCTATTTAGAGATTTCCACATTTTCTGTGCCCTGAGTCTTTCTTGCTACATCCTCAAAATTGACCCTACATGAACCAGAAAATGAGTGTCTACCTAATACTGCCTCCTTGCGGCTTCCCTGGCCTCCTCTTGTTCTAGCCTTGTAGAATCTGTTTCCCTTTCTGCTAATCATATCTTCATTTTTCTTTGAGAAATACCCTTGCACAATCTCAGTCCCTGTGATACAGGTAGAAGTGACAGCACTGCTGAGCTTTCAGGAATAGACACATGACTTAGGCCCAACCAATCAAAGCACACAGCCTTGTCCATGGTGATTGGTTCAGTGATGACATGTGACCTAAGCTGAGCCAATAGGAATCTTTCATGGAACAATCCACAAAGAAATACACTCTTTAGGGAAGATTGCTGAGCTCCTAGAATGTAAACCAGGTAGCTGTGAAGAGAGAGCCAGCCTGAAGAAGAAGCCCCTTCAGGAGAAAAGAGAGCAAAGAGATGGGAAGAGACAGATTTCTGAAACTGTTGGAACTCCGTATCTGAAGAAGGCTCTATAGTTACATGAGTCAATAATTGGGTGTCTGTTATTTGCATAGTCCTGCCTAATAAAATGAGATTAGAATAAGAATGAGAAGGGCACCTGCTCAGTCTTGCTGGTCCAATCATACTATCTACTAAGGCAGCTTTGTCACAGTGTGCAATCAGAACGAAGATGCAGTTTGCTGTTAAAAAGGTGTTTTGGGGGTTTTCTTGTAGCAGGTGTGGGATTTGGGTAAGCAATCAGTTTCTTTTTTTTTTCTTTATTTTTATTGTTGACACTGTTACAAATGTCCCCATTTCTGCTCTCCCTGCCCACTTTGTCTGCCTCCACCCAGCCCCCACCCTCTGGCCATCACCACACTGCTGTCTGTGTCTATAGGTTATGCATATATGTTCTTTGGCTGAAGTTTCTCAACAACTACTTCTTATCCTCCCCCTCCCCCTCCTCCTTCTTCTTCCTCGCCTGAGGGCATTGTTTTCCCGTTTCTTTTAGAAAGAGAAGAAGGGAGAGTGGAAAGGAGAGAGAAAAACATAGATGCAAGAGAGAAGCATTGATTGATTGCCTCCCATATGCGCCCAAACCAGTAGGGATTGATCCTGCAACCTGGGATTGTGCTCTCACCTGACTGGGAATCAAACCCTCAACCTTTGGGTTATGGGATGTCGCTTCAATCAACAGCCATAGTGGCCAGGGATGAAGTTTCTCAGCTTCTTGTTGGTAGACTTGGAAATTTAATTTCTTGTCCCAGAAAACTACTTTTCCTATTTCTTTCCTACTTTATGGGAAATGGGCTACGGGAATTCCCCACCCCTTCAGAACTGCGAAACTGCAGAAGGTACTGTAAAGAAACCTAGGCCATTAACCTGGCTTTACCCAACTTCTAGGATTCCTGCCAACACAGAACAGGAAGCAAACTCAAACAACATGTTGCCACCCACCTGTACCCAAAAAAAGTCCTGATGGGAAAATATGCCAGACACTGGCAGTATTGGAGCCTGGGTTAGGTGATGATGTCAGGCATGCCAATAAAGACTTTTAAAATAAGACACGCCTTAAAGAACCTAACTGTCACTAGAAACTCAGAAGGCTAAAGTGGAAAAGTTGAGTATATGTGTCAGATGAATGAATAAAAATATTTTAAAAAGTCACCGACTAGAAGTGAGAGGCAGCTACTTCTGGGAATTGGAAATGAGCAAAAATATCCCCGTTCTCTTTATCTTATCTCTGAGTCTCTGAATCTCAAAGTCTTTGTTAATTTTGGAAGTTCCCGGGGGGCAAAGACAGGGCTACGGACTGACAGGTCACCACTAGAAACCTGGGCATTGTCCAAGACACGCCTGCCGACCTCAAAGCAGGTCACTTAGCTATGATGTTATCAAAGAACATGATGTTCAAAATAGTTTGAAGAGATAGAGGAACATTTCAGTTAAGTCAATTCATCTGTGGGTAATGGTTACTGTTACCACTGGAAGTATTATTGGTAGACAGTTCCAGCACGTACCAGTCTGTGCCTAGTGAGAGTAAGGAAAGGTTAGTGGGATTTTCACATACAAAGGAGGAGACAAAAAAAACAAACAAACAAACAAAAAAAAACTAGAGTGAACGTAGCTTCATTCATTGACTTGTTCACCTCCCAACAGAATTAGAAATGAGATAAGTATAAAATAGGTCATAAGAAGAAAAGAAAAGAATAATGAAATAATTCTTTAAAATGAAGCCTTCTTTAAAATGAAGGCTTCATTTTAAAGAATTAAAGTGAAGGTTTCATTTTAAAGAATTAAAGAAGTGAAGGTTTCATTTTAAAGAATTAAAGAAGTGAAGGTTTAATTTTAAAGAATTAAAGTGAAGGTTTCATTTTAAAGAATTAAATGAAAGTTTTCAGATATTTTAATTCTTTAAAAATGAATTTTTAAAGAATTAAAAGAATGAAATTTTTCAGATATTTTAATTAATTCTTTAAAATGTATTTTAATTCTTTAAAATTCTGAAAAATTGATGCACAGGTGCAAAAATCAAGATACGAACGGGGTACACGAAGAACTATTTTTCCTTAGGCACTGAGTTCTCCTGCCTGGAGACAGCCATGTTGGTGATTTACTGG